AATTTGATTATTTTTAAAAATGTTATGGCACGCCATATTTCAAGTTTAAAAACTTTTTGGGCTTTTTCTCGATTCCGAAGGGGTTTTCCCTTTCAAATTTTATCAACCCCTTGTTGAACTCTTTTTAATATTTTGCCCAATTTTTAATTTTTGCACCAGTTTGTCCTAGGCTATATACTGCAAAAAGCACTCGAGGGCGTTTTTCTAAAAAAATGTTGAAAATTATTGTGGGCAGGTAAAATCTTATGTGGGTTTATGTGGTTACTCCTAATCCACTCTTCGGCTAGTTTATCGCAAACAAATTCGTCGGTTGACGATATTTTTTCGACACTCGACCGACGGCGAAACAACGTAACGCACTTAGACTATCGACACGGAAAAACGTCGGTAAAACGCACCGAATTAATATATTCATAAAAGCTTATTATATTTAGTTCTCCCTTTTCGCTTTGGCGCCATACCCAAAAACAAAAAAACCGGCGCGGCGTTTAAATATTAATTTTGTACGTTTTTTCGCGCTCTAAACGATCCCGCTGGATACCTAACCGATTCATGTTTAAAAAAAAAAAAAAAAAAACCAAAAGATATTTCTCGCTTTATAGTTCTTGAGGGAATTTCCCATCGTCGTAATTTATTACTAATACCGTATATGTAGACTTATATATATATTTCTGTATTTTGCATTACATTGCCGTTCGACGTGCTCACGATTAATGGACGACAGCGCTGTTTACACCGCCGCAAAGGAGCGAAAGAGCGAATATTCGTGAAAAGTGGGCCGGCAGTGTAATAATATGTAATTTCCACTACCAATCACATGTATACATATATATATACATACTTATATATAAGACTGTGTGATCGACGTATACGACACGGATGACAAGCTTTCAAAATCGTACGTCTGTATCATATTTTCCCGCCCCTGCTGTCTATACATATCTTTATACTTACACGTGATACATTTTTACATGCATGCGTAACCGATGTCGCAGGGACATGTGGAAAATTATAAAAATACAATGCACGTTCCACATAATAATAATATCTAATAATATATATATATAGCTGTATAACCAAGGGAATATGTCGAACGAATCGAAAACCGTCTACAACCCGAACGTAGTGATTTATAAACAAAAATAATATATCAACTAATAACTATCAAAAAAAAAAAAAATTCGTTACCATTGTTCAATCTAATCTAGTGATGGACCTGAGGTTTACCGATAATATTATACAGTGTGAAAATATCACATTTGACGGTGTTAAATTTCTAGGTTGCTCATTGGGAATTAAGTATACAGGTAATAGTAATAAAGTCAACAGGCATCCAAAATATATTTTCATTTTGTTGGTTATTTGCCTATGGTATTAGGAAAGAAGGCGAACAACCCTAATCTTATGTATTCTAATACTAAATTATATAAAATAAATATTAAATTCAGTTTTTATTCTTTGTATTTATTTGGGAAAAAAATTGTATTCAAATAATTTTATTTGTGATTTAGGTATTCGAATAAAAAAAAAAAAGGAAAAATATCTTTGTAGTCCATATTATTTATGAATAAGTTTTCGACAGAAAATCGAAAAAAGCTACTATACTTAGTAGTTTAAGAATTGTTTTAAAATGTGTGGCTCAGTTTCTGTAACACAAATATTACCTCTGGCCCTACGCCAAGCTAAAGGTATATTTATATGAATGGAGTTTTGCACTCATAGACTCAATCTTTACTCGAATAATTTTTTTTTTTACACAAATATTATTTGGAAATTATTCATATAAAATATTATTGTTTTATTTGATTTAATACGTTATTCGTTATTTAGTTACATTTTTTTTCCAACTGCTTCTGCGAGAATAATAAAAATAAGGAATTTTATTGTACAAAATATATAAGATACATATATTTGGGAAATAAATTATACTTGGTCGTTTGGGTTTCGATCTAATTTGAAAATCATCATGGAAACAATACACGCGTGTCCCGTTTAGTATAATATTTTAACATAATATTATTATGGATCTATACACAGTGCCGTTACTAATGCATGGTAACATTAGGTACAGATATAATTTCGATAGAATAAATTGACGGATTGAAAAATTGAAGTATCGCGTGTCGAAATCCGTATAAACCCGGCGCGGCGCACGCAATCAACATTGTATTAGCTAGAACACCTTATGGGAGAGTTTACATTTTAATTCCCCCCCCCCCATTTCAAAAAACACACTGAAGAGTTTTGTGATTGAAAATTATGCCTGGTACACAAAACTTAGAGTTTACGAGTAAACTTTCCCATTGCTCGGAGTAGGCATTTAATAAAAAAGTTTTTCCTAATCCAACACTGTTCAAGCAATTTTTTACGCCTATAGTTTTCTCGAAAAAAAAAACAAAATCGGTATAAATCAAAATATAAACTCCATTATCCTAGATAATATAACAACATTTTTTGCACTTGGCCCTTCAAGTAAATAACAAAACTAAGCTAATGAATATAGACTTTTAACTCGCGTTTACGCTTTTCGAACTTATTTTAGTAAAGTTTAATGTAAGTTAAAAGTTATGAAAAGTTATTTCTCTAGATTGTAATCTATAAAGCTGATTTTGCTGTCACCTCTCAAACATCCTTATAAGCGCTTTCAAGATTCAAACGTACTACCTACTTACAAAAATTTAAAATAATAATTTTTCCAAACAAAACACTATTTGTATGTATCTTATCCAATGTGTTAATAAGAAATACATATTTATGTACGAGATCAATATTTACATTGAAATAAATATAAGAATTATGGTTCACTCACAATAATCGTTCCAGCTTCAACATTACACTTACGATACAACATGATTGACTTTATTTGTACCAAGCTTGATTCTAGCTAAATTAATTATTACAGTTTATTGTTTAATAATCAACAATTAAAACATTTTTTTTTAAATGTTTTAGTAATAAAAGTAATTCCATATTTCTAGAGCATTATATCTGTAGCTATACTTCAAATAATATAGGCATAGGCAAACGCATAGTTTATTCACAATTTGGATTTGTTTGGAAACGCTATTTTGAAGGGTTGCATTTCTAAGAATTGCTTTAACATAGCTTATAAAATAATCATTGTAGCATACGATAAGATTATGACGTTGATTAGAATTTCCAGATAATATTATAAATTAGTAATGATGAAACTTAACTAATAAATATTTAATTGTCTAATTTAGTTGAATAAATAAACAGGAAATTCGTCAAGAACTCTACCGAGTGAATTGAATTGATTTATTTGTTACGGTATGAGATCAAATTATTCGAAGTGCTTAGTTATTATAAATATCAACAAAGTATAGTTTTTAAAAATTTAAGTCTAGTATTATTTGCAATTTTTTCCGCGGTTGAATACGCTTATCTCAAAGTGAGCTCGATAAATAATTTAACTGTTAAGTTAATACACACAGATTGTGATTATTTGGGTGTGCATTTTAATTTGATATATTATGGTCTAATTTTGAGTGAAATTGGGTGGGAACTACACGTATTATTATTAATTATTATTATTAATTATTATTATTATTATTATGTTATTATTTCGTCAGCTATAATTTAAGTAAACTGTATTTCTTACTAATTACTACCAACTGAAATATATAGTCGCTATCTCTGTTTTATAAATGTTAACCTAAATACATACATTAACAGTAAACAAAATTAAATATTGTTTTTTTCTAATTTAAAACATACTTTCAAACAACCATTGCTAAATACATTTGGTGACTTTTATACCTAACAAAGGTACTAAAATCATTTAATAGTGATAATTTCCTGGTAAATTAATAAAGGCCTCGTTTATTACCAAACAAACATTATATTGGTAATTATAGTTTATAGTTTCATTTTATAGTATCGCGTTAGTGTGTACTTATTTCATGAGATATTTCCAGTTTCACGGCTTTTAATAACATTTTTGGTTTATGGCTTTATCTTTTCCTCCTGAGCACTTGGACAATATAAACACAGGCGTTTGGTTAACAAGTTTAGTGAGGTCGAATTTTTCGTTGTTGTTTATCTAAAGTGAATTGCAGTGATGAGTACTTATACCTAAGTATAAATAATTATACTTACTGTGTATGTATAACTAATACATTATTAGTATACTATATATACTAATGACGTGATCGTTATGTCTTACGTGATTAAATGTTATTGAAAAAAAAAACAATACCAATTAAATCATTTATTTTTTCGGCGTCTAACAATTCCGTTGATGTTTTAAGGTGGCTCGTTACGAACGACCCTTTTGGCGTTCTTTATTTATTCCCCTTAGACGACCGGGAAACCAACACTTTCCCAGGGATCAATAACCCCTTCACCTCCAGTGACGACCATCTTCCGTTCCCACTAGGTTAATGTTTATCCGATTACCCCGTCCGGGTCTCGTTGCTTCCCACCGGAATTCTGAGTGAATTATCTTCCTGGTTTGTTTTGCGTGCTCTACGGTCACTACCACAATGTCGAGACTTTTCGCCTATGTGTCCTCTGACCCCTCACACCCGGCCATCAGTGGTTGCAAAGTTTATTGTTTCCGCATTTATCTCACTCCTTTATCGACTTTCGACAATAATATTCAATTATAGCTATCACTGCTTAAAATTATTAAAATTATTTTTCTAATAAGTTATAATTATAAATAGAACTTAATTATTTTAAACTAAACCACAATCGCGATTTAATGTATGATTTTTAATTGAGGACGGTTGATTCAATCGATTAACCAACTTAAATGCAGTCGATCAATTTTAATTTACTCATCACTGATGATGGATGATGATTGGTTTTTTAGTTTTAATCAGGTTTTTAGTTAAATGGAAATTTTCCCAGCTCATGATTCGAGCTTAAACCTGTAACTGTAGTCCAATAGAAGCATTGTGACAAATATAGGGCTATTGACTATTTATAATTTTTTAAAAATTGTAATGCTCATTAAATAAACATACTGTACTAACCTTAGTTTTTGGAAGTTTTTTGTCGTTTCGGTACCAAGTAATAGAAGCTGGAGGTCTGGATCCTGCCGAGTGACACGACACGTCGTATCTGCGGTCGGCTACTAAAACTGATTCTTGTTTTGTAAGCACTGCTGATAAAGGAGCCACTGTAATTTAAATACAAATACATATACTTAAATGTAATCAATTTTATAAATCGTGGTAATTAAAAATTATTTACACTATGAGTATAAGCCGAAACAAAACAATATTCCACTTTATTTAGAGGTGCAATAATGTATATTTATAAATGGTAAGCCGTAAACTCATTTGATAAAATAATGTAAATAATTTTGTATATTTACTTTAGCAAATATGATAAAATATAATTTATTAGATAGATTTAAATTTCCCAATAACTAATAAATCTTGTTCAGTTTGAATTTATATTTTAGGAAAAAATAATACTAATATTATAATTTCACATAGTTAAAATATAAACAAATAATTCTGTACAATAGTAACAATTTTGTAACTTTTAGTTAAAATGATAATCAATATAGAAAAATTAGGTGCAAACGAAATACCTATACTTGCTAAAGAGGAACAAATATTTAAAAATGCAGGACAAATATGGTAATAAAATTACATAGGTTTGAAAATGCAAACAGAACGTTTTAATGTTTGCTCAAAAATGGATATTAGCTTCAGATTTTGATGAGCTGATCCTCGTGTCACGCGATTTGTCGTTTATTACGGATTTTTACTGTTAATTATATGTATTACTGTTATTTTCCAAAAAGTCAGTCCAGCCAAATCACTTTATAAAAATGATTTGTTCAACTGATAAAATATAAAATTATAACATCTACATTAAAAAATAAAATAAATGATTATCCGCTGACAAAAAAATGTAAAAACATACAAACATTAAAGTAACATATACATTTAGTACTTTTGGCTAGTCATAGAATTATCAATCATCTATTTTTTGTAACGTTGTAATAATGTCTTTATTGAATATTTCCACCGAAAATGTAATTATTCAATTGAAACAAATAATAGGTCAATAAAGTTACAGTTTTTTGCTAAATATTGTATCAATTCTAATATTGATGCAAACAATTTTATTTGGAATTTAACAATTTTAACAAATCTTATCAAATTCATCACACTGATGTAACGTACATACATTTCTATTGTTGTTTTAATTTGTAGATAATGTGAATACGAAAATCACCGTAGAAATGTTGTATTTAATAAAACCATTTACTTTAACTTAAATAAAATTATTGAGGTAACTGATTTAGAAAATATAAAACGAGGATGACAATAAAATATTTGATTTATATTTTCTGTAATCACATTTAGTTGAGCAAAATAATAACGATTTAAATTTAACAGACATAAATGATTACAGCTTATAGTTTAAGCTAATATTAAAAATTGTGGTTTAATTTATTCATACTAAATAAAATTAGGGTAACTTATATAGCTCTACAATTTCGAATTAATTTAAGAACGTGTTGTTAACTTAATTTCGAGTAATTTCCGTAATTCAACGTGAAACAAACCTATTCGAGACTTAAGTATCATTCTAGTGGTTATTTGTAAAAAGTCAGTCCAGTGATTTAGATTAAATTTATTAATAAAAAAGTGTTAAAAAAAAAGAAGTTTAGAAGCAAATCCAAGGTTTGAACTGACAATTGTATGATCGATATTTCTTCCTTCAAATATCCGTTGGACTTGTAGCGCACACTGCCAAATTCTATTACTCTTAAGTAGTTCTGTAAATGCAGAAATATTTTTCTATAGGATTTGTGATGTTGTATGCAGTTCCAGGGAAACTAGCCTAGCTTATAGAACGCTCGAGAAAGTTTTACTTTTTCCCCAGGTCAAATTTGGCCCAACTGTACTAATAGAGAGTTGCGCTAATTGCAGGTAAAATCTGAGAGAATGGATTGAGGCGGTTTGGACACGATGAAAGAAGGAAAGGAAATTAAATACTAAAACGGACGAAACCAATTAGTGTAGTGGGATTTAAAGGTATCGTTTTAGTAATACGTTCAAAGTAATTTTAAGGAATAAGTGCCATGCGTTACATATGAAGTCATAAGGGTTAGATATGTGGATTTGATTGGTTGATACCATTAAATGACAGTTGAGATAGGCAAAGAAGAAAAATTTGATCATTAAAAAATTAACCTGTTTAGGTTTTTAGATTTATTTTCATCCCCAACCCTTCCAAATAAACGGGGTTAAGGGGTAACGGGGCTACGGATAAAGTCTGTTTAACGGTAAGAAAGAAAGTAACTAGTTCCATGTTGATGTCGATAGAGTTAAACATTTTCTCTCGGTTAGGTTTAAAGGAACATTATGTGTTACACAAGACTATCATTTATAAGTAATTACAATGGAATAAAAATAATTATTCTAGACAGAGATATAATAGACGAGTCTGAAGCAATAAGTAACGAAGCTCGTTAACGGTCATTTTCATTATTATTTTAATTACATACATTCGGGGTCCTTTATTTTATTATTCCTTTTGTGTTGGCAAACGTATAATTAAAAACTTTTATGTTTTTAATTTTCTCCAGAGTAGGCGCATTTTAACTAGAACATTCTAGTATCAAACGCATACTAATGACGAACATTAGATTGCATTAAATTACCTTACCAAATCAGCACATAAAACGTGTACGGACGAACTATATTCGTATAATATTTATATACTTACATCGCAAGTCTAAGACGACGGACATCTGGCGAGGATCAATTAAGTGTGTATTCGTAGCTTGGCACGTAAATACTGAATTGAGATCACGCCTATTTACCGACGGCCAGTAGAGTCGATTCTCGAGCACGTCGTTCGATATGTGCTCACATTTATCATCGACCACGTCACCGTTTTTTAGCCATACCACAGACGGTGGTGGGTTACCTGAAAAAAAAAAACCCATTATAAATAATTTTTTTAGTCGACAAATTTGTTTACATATATTTGAGATGGTCAATTTTAAGATTTCGTATCGACTCCGAGCCACAAGGTCGTGTTAAATGCAAATAACTAAGAAAAAAAAAATGATTTTTCAAAATTAATAAATGGTCTAAAATTATTAAACGGCGTCGTGTGTATGCGATTTCGGTACACAGCTGTCAACTTTGCTGATAAACTATTAGTGTTAAAAAATAAATGGAGATCATCGCTATTGTGAACAATTTTTAATAACTCTTCGTAGGCCGTACAGTACATACAGTGTAAACATATTGTTGACTAGTTAAAGCAGAAAGTGTGACACGCGATTACTGTAAACTATTGAAACGGTTACCCGCATTAAACATAGGAAATTTAACAATGTTTAAGACGGTTTTATGTAGAATGAAAAGGTCTTGTTGCTGACCAACCACCCATTCAGCCTAATAAATATCAAGCTTTTTCCAAATTACCCCGGTCGTTACTATTCATTGGCGCACGGTTAACCATTTCTATGCAGATAAGCTACCTTTTACGGTTATGTGCGACTTGCATAACATTAAATGTGCAGTTAACTAAATGAGTTTTGACATGAAACACGAAATCTTGTAAACTCTACAGGGTATATAGATCGCATAGATACTATCGTCGAAATATCTATGTACTAAACATCTACAGAGTTTAATCCGTGATATTAAGATGCCGGAATTATCTTCGGCGACGAAGACTGAAACGATAACTGTCGTGGATAAAAAACGAAATGTGAAATTCGGCTAACTTGACTTAATAATTTGACAGCTATCCTTCTTTTTTCCTTTGGAGTTTTTTTATTTTTATTATATGATGTTCGCAGTCCCGCGGAATCTCAATATCTTTAAAAAAAATAACAATCTCAGTAAATTGCATTCCATTGTGCGAGTGATGCTGTTTTTCTATTATGTAAAGCCTCTTAATCGCACTACCGTTTTGTATAATAAAATCACCAGATTTCTTTTAATAGGTCATAATATAATACCTTTATTACTTAATATTTTATCAATGTTGTCACACTAATACATTTTTGGAGCATTAGATTAAATTTCAACATGTCTTGTATAATGCCACACTTTATTAATTTCTTCTTTCGTGACTAATTATCACGACTGAATTGTTATTGTATGTTATGATTTTGTCATATCGACAAGCCAATAAGAAAACTAATCTACATACCGTTTTGTAAATTCTGCGTTAATTAAAGTTATTCATTTATTACTGCTTATATGATCTCGGTTCTGTTTTAAATATATTATGAGAGCATTGTTTAATTTATCGGAAACTTTTTTCATTCGAAATGTTTTTGTATGGTTCATAAATTATTTGTGTAAATCTTCTTGGTGATTAATGATTAGTTAGTTTAGCCGGTAGTAATTTTTCTAACTCTAATGATTTTTAATAAAATAATTCTATAGGCTGGCAAAATCGCTTTTCCCAAAGGTTTAGTCATTTACTCTCGGCTAAGCTTAGTCTTTCAATTTGGTACCGATGTCTCTAGTAGTAATACATTGTTAGTTATTTTAAGTAATCCTTTTCCCTAGTCACCTTTCCCCCAGTTTTAATAGGATTTTATTAGAGCTTTCAGGAAGGTATTGAATTATATCTTTCATGGATAAAATAAATAATATTGACTATTATTAATAATAATATTACAATATTTCGTTTTAATACCACGAGTTCATTAAAGCTCAAAAGATAATCTGCGTTTTCATCCAATGATTAAATAGCCGACTTTTATAAAATATTTTGTAAAATACAAATTTTCTGGAATTTTTATTTTTATTGCTGTAAAAAGCAAAACTAAAAATTGCTTAAATATAGAATAGGACGAACATTTTTTAAAATTTATTCCCAGTACCAAATTTAACCGTGTTATAGAGAGTATTCTGGATTATTAAGACACTATTGTTTTATATGTATAAACGTGTTTCTTATAATTAAACTATTTTTTTTGCTAACGTACAAATTAGTCTGGAATTTAAATTGGCTTAAAATGACCAACTGGAAGTTAATGAATAGTTAATACTTTAAATATATTTACTAAATTTGTTATGCTTTTAAAATGAATTTAAAAATAATAAATTAATTTTATTAAAAAATGTTTTATCTACATCAATATAAGAGCAATATAGTAGATAATTTGCTACTAAATGTATGGAACAGTAGATACGGTTTGATTGACAGGCGTACCAGGTATCTGGTAACCAATTCTTACTACCAAGAAATTCTACCGTCATTTCAATTCTTAGTAATTTATTAACGTTATAAATTCACGATTTTCATAGTTTCCCTTAACAATACTGTAAACTACCATAAATCTAATAAATATTGAATGGCCCCAAGTTAGTTAAAATTTACTGAAGTTCACGCTCTGTTCGTCGGATGTCTACAATGTCTGGAGGTCAAACACGGAAGACAGAAGTGAGGGGGAGAGGAAGTTTCCACCTGGTGCAAAACGTTAGAATATTTTTTATAAATCCCAACCTATACCAAAAAGGTTTCCACATGCAATCAGTCGTTGTCATCCAGTTCGCCGTGAGAGCAACTAAGTTCACACAATTTCAACAGTTCGGAGAGCAAATAATTCGGCGAATCAATATCGGATAGTGAATTGCAATATACTAAGTGAGATTGGGCGAAGTAGAGAAACTGATGAAATTCAATTGCAAAAAAGACCCTAGAAATGGACATTTACCTAGGACTTGGATGCGTTATAAATTAAACGCACTTTATTCGGACAGCCGATAAAAAGTTCTCTCCCTCGCAAACTACTTTCCACAGATCCACGAGTAATATTTATCGCACGGAAATCTGTTGATTCTTTTCATTTTTACACTTCCGCTTTAAACAGGAAGCAAGTCAGTTGAAATTTACCCAAAGATTACGTGACGCGATATTATCTTTATGTATTGCACCCAAGAGATCCCAAAGCCCTGCGAAACCTTCTAAGATTATATAAGGACCGTGCACCGTCTACGCGTATGCAGCAATATAGTACATAATAGTGTTTTGTCATTATTTAGCGGTAATATAGATTTAGAGTTTGCATAACTACCCATTGCTGCTTGTATTGCTCTTATTATGGTTATTACTTATTGGTGTTATGGTCATACCTAGCCTAGTGTGTATTTTCTAGATTAGAGTACATAGTAAGACTAAATTGTGTTTTGTCAAAACGTAAATTATCAAATACATGCGTCGACGATGTTTATAATCTATCTCTAAATAATCAAAAATCATCTTCTCTGATTTTCGGTATTTACGATTTTGAGAAACACAATACACGGTAGAAGTAAACTTATATTGTTAAGCGGGCGATATCCATATGTTTATTTTGATAATTTAAAATTTTCCGTGGATCTATTTTTATAGACTACAAGCTGCCCCGACCCGGCGTTGCCCGGGATTTAGTTTGCTAAGGCTGAGTAAAATAATTACAAATAAGATAAAAAAAGTCAGTACTCCAGGCTGTATATTGTAAAGCTTTAGCATACCCCGGATTTTTCTCGGATTTTTTTTTGGATCTTCATATGCACATTACATTATATTGATTAAGTCCCCCTTTTACATAAAGGCACCAGTCCCAGTTCCAGATCCCGTTCCAACAGTGAAAAGCGTCCCCAGAATTGTGATACATAAAATCGGCCTGTTTCTTTAAGCATCATCTATCATTCGCTCGAATACCGTGGTTACCATGGTTACAAACCAAACGTTTATTTTGGCTTAGCAACAAAAAATATTTCGTATTTAAAGTACAAAGTTCGTGTTTGAGGCCACCCTTAGGGGTGGAATTTTCAAAAAGTAATATGCCAGTTATCTTTGCGGGAGTGTACTCAACAACTTCCCTAACTTTCATAGAGATCGGATGAATGGTGTACTAATGCATAAAGGACAAACAAAGAAACAAACAAGAATTCATTTATATATATATATAGATAGACTAGAGTAGTTTAAGAGATAAAACATCTATTATCAAACCTATAGAATATAATATATTCGAGGGCTTTACGTAGGCGTGTTTTGAAAAGTTTATAGAGAAACCAAGTGACAGTTGCACGGTTTAAAAATATATATGTCAAAGTAGGTTTTTGTTCAAGAAATATTAGAAAATCTTTATAGTTTATTAAAAATCAGCCTACGCTACGTACAATTCTCAAAAATACCATACTCGTTGGATTTCATAGTAGATGGTTTTGTTCTAAGCACCGGTTTTTAGATAGAAAAATATTTGAAAACGTTGTTATCAGCATTGTGATAATCTGATAAAAAAAATTACAAATAATATAATGTAGTAAAATAATAAGCATACAATTAATAGTTTTGGCATAAAACTAAGATTTCGAAAAATTACCTATACTACATTTTTTTAACAAATAGTAGTGTGCTTTTAATTGGATATTGTAACTAAAACACAGAATTCTTTAAGGCATAGCTCATGGATACCTAATACCGATATATTTAAAAAAATGTATGGAGGGAATGTCTATAGGGGTTAAATTGAAACAAAAATAACAATGGTTTAGTAATAAAATGTATGTAACTTTGACGACGGTCAGAATCTTTAATTTTACAAACAAGCAGAGTTGAATATCAGTAAAATAATTTTTATTTAAATCATTCGGTTGAATAAATAGATTATTCATAAAAAAAAATGTAATTATTCAAATAATGTTGTTTGTTTATTGGAATAAATTGTAAACAAAAAATGTTTATATTTTGTGGTTTAATCGAATAATATTATTTAAAACCGATTCGACTAAAGTTTTAGCTTTTTGTATAAATTAATACACATTGCTCGATTTGTGGCAGTTGTTGATCATTTAATTAAATCTTGTCCTATTCTGCGGACAAGTCGTATATTGTAAAATAGTCTTTTTTTGTTATTGTTTTATTTTTAACTTTTACAAGGAAATTTTCTTCATGTCTACCGACAGTGAAAGTTTTTTTTTCTGTCCCCCAGGGTTTGTGCCAAAATTAACTGAGCCACCCTCCTCCGTGTTCTTCTACATCTCCGCCTTGACTATGACTTAAATAAGCCGTTCATAAGCGAACCATACATGGTGTACATGTTGCTCCGGGCGTTTCAGCTTGTTTACGCGAATACACACATGTTGCGAATACACAAACAGTGCCGACACAATATGTATCGTTCGCGAATAGAGCATTCGGTTTGTCGGATGAAGGTACTGGTACCTACCTATGATTTTCTACCGAGTTTGTTATACTTACAAGCAACCCGCGTGGCTTGCGGGCAAAAAGATAAAAGTGAATCGAACGTGCACTCGCGTTTTTCACATATCATTATTCAGTCGTGAAACAAAAAAAAAAAAAATCTAGAAGGAAAAATAACTTTAGCGCACGTGCTAGAGTAGCTTTTCATATTGGATTGACGGCCGGATCGCGGAAAACTCTACCCCCTTTGGGTTTCTCCCCTCGTAATATTAAGTGGTTATTAACAAGTTCAAGTAAACCAATATACTTGCATCCATCCAATTGTATCAGTTCAGCGGCGTGTGATATCACAAACACCACCGAGACGACTATGCCCGCGAAGCGTGTAAATGACTGTTATGAGAGGCAACAGATGTGTGACGTTACAACAATACCGCTGCTGATATTGCGGCGGATAAAAGAATTCCTTGTTTCCTTATAGTGTGTCTCACGCTTTACCCGTTTTAGATTCTCTCCGTCAAGTAAATACAATAAAAATGGCAAGTGTTGTCAATTGAAACGTATTTGAATTACGATATTTACAAATTAAATGAAATGGCCTAATCCGGTTTCTTCGAGGAACACTACACTGTATATTTATCGGCGGATACAGATATTCCGAAAACTTTTGCCAAGTAATGGAAATCTAAAGTGCGTTTTCTACATTGCACTACTAAGTGCTTTTAATGTTAACTGTGTGCTACAAATTGCGCACATGAGAGTTACTCGTGCATCATTTAATATTTGTGGCTAATTTACAATATAACAATAAAACAACTAATGGAATACTCCAAGTTTAATCTAGAGTTTAAAATATACTTTAACTTAACTGTATTACTTATTATGAAGTCACGGCAAAAAAAAAATATAAAATTTGAAAAAAACCACTTATAAAATTAATTAATTATGAATTCATAAATATTAATTAATATCTAACTGCAATTTGGTTCTAACGAAACATTTACTCTATACACTAATATAATACAACATATGATCTCGAATGCTTCTTTTATTATATTCATTAATTATCGATAACAATCTAGTGTCAAATACACAAAGAGATTTAATGTAAAAATCTAATATTAATTTATAGCGGTAAATTTATGAGAAATGAGTTTGTTATCTTCCACGCTGTATAATATATTATAATGTCTCAAAAGTGGCATGAAAACGTGTATTTTTGCTTTTAGGGAATTGCCGTTTAATAGGCCCATAAGAGTCTCTGGAGTGTTGTTTCGAATTAAGGTAATTAAATAATTACAGTTACTCGTAGTAATTTAGTTTGTATTTATGTTCAGCTTGATTTAATTATGAAAAATTCTAAATGATAAATGGTGCTCCTAAAAGTTTATTTTTTAATGAACATTCTGGTGTTGTTTTAACTAATTTTGTTTGTCAGATATAAAAGTTCAGTAGTATAGCTTTTAAACTAAGTTCGAGTTAATTTGCTTTCTGCGCCAAAACTATATCATCAATCATGTTATTAGTATAGTATTTTGCATATTTTGTTTTTGATGAACAATTATTACAGTTCCATAATAAACCGTTTTTTATACTTATTTTGTTAACGTTTCTGCTAATTAATAACGAAAATGACTGGAATAAAACTGTCCAAAGTCACGAATAAAATTAATTAAATAGTGTAGAAGGTTAGGAAGAGAGGGACACTAATTTTTGTAGTTGCTTAACTTCGATGATAGCTCTAACTGTTATTAAATCTCTGTCCAATTTTTTCTTGACCGATGGACTAATAATATTAAAATGTAAAAAATCAAATCGTTATCACACTGTGCGTATAAAATGAATAATAATTGTATAACATAAAAAAAATATTTGTGTAACTCTTACACCAAACGTAAACTTTGCAGTGTGTTTATTATTTTTGTACGAATATAGTTCAGGTTTTGTAGAGTTGGTTAATGTAGAAAACAAATACTACAAACTATCTCTTCGTTTAATCGTTAGATTCGATGGTTTTGAAACTTGACAAACTTTTCGAATAACAAAACGTAACTTAATGTGAAAGAGCCGTAGTTGTAACAAAATTCGACCCAATACAAACTGTTTGATGCTACGAATTTCATTAAGTTTTCCACGATAATTGAAAAACACAATTTATATTATTAAACTACTGTTGTCTCGGAGATAGGCGCGATTTAGTTTCTTTTACTTTTATCGTTGAAACTCTTCATATGAACAAGTACGCAGTGCTCATCACTTGCTATATTAATATATAAAAAGGGTGGTAAAAAAATGTTTACGAGGAAGATAGGAGTTACGTGAAATTAATACGATTTTATTATACACGATCTCCTTGATATCTTATTGTATTGTCTTTTATATTCTTTCATTTTTTTATTTTTTTATTTATGTAGTCAAAAGCATCAGAGAACCTTAGATTAAAATAAAACTTAATGTATTTTCCGGAAACCTTTGCCAATGTAGTTTTGAATTTAAATATTTATACTTATATTAAGCGTATCTGATGTAAACTCTGTACTATTGCCCTCGAGGGCGTTAGCAATAATAAATAATACAAATAATGATTTAAAAGGAAAATATTTGAATATAAATAAATTCCAAAAATAGTAAATTTTATTTTATGATAATTCCTATTACCTATTTGAATTCAGGATTAAAATATTAATTTTAACTGATAGTTCCTAATTAGATCTAAGTAGTGTACAGTAATTACCTGAAACAATTTTGTTGACATTAATTACCTTAAAATACTAAAATTGCATTGCAACTAGGGGGTAAAAACATAGTAAAAATACAAATATAGAATTAGCTTAAGAATTTTAACGTGAGAAAGTAGGTGCATAGTATACTACACAAGTAGCGTACGATCTACAAATAAGAGGTTTTTGGAAAAATTTACTAGGTATTCTTGTACTCACCTCCCGTGACGTGGCATATGAGAGCTACGTGGTCGTGCTCGTCGAGGGGTCCGATAGTGTGGTTGAGTTGCCTTCCCCACTTGTCGAACACGACCGGATGTTCAGGTGGCACTGAAACAAACGAAATTGCATTAATATATTATCACGACAATATAATAATTTTTGGTCGTAAATATATGTATATTGTACCCCTTCCCCCCCCCCCGCGCAGTTATATGCTATTTTCCACGGCACCCGGCCGCCACCAGCCCACGTCACCACTACTACTTAGTGTTCCGGAAATTGACGGCGGAGGCCAAGAGGCAGGGGTAGCGGATATATTATTATACAGACTATATATATATAATGTATACCATAGACATGACAATTGCTCGACTATTGTGTGTCCGCACGGTTTCCCTTTCCGGCCATATCTTGGACCGGAGCTATTATATTTACACAAAGCCGACGCACGTCCCTTGCATTTACTACGCTACTCGATGCCGACACCGCCACTAAGTCCAACACAACAACACCACCACCGCCACAACCGAGGATCCCTATACCACAACGGCAATTGAACAATGGCCCTCCCTCCTTCTTCCCCGTGTACGCTTTGGGACTCCGGCTAAAGTACAATTCGGTCGGAAAATCGGCATGCCGTACCCCCCCCCCCCCCCCCCCATCCTCCGATGAACCTAATCAACCGGCAATTTATACAGCTCCGCGGCTATGTGTGTTTATCTAAAGTGCGCGTTTTGTATTTTGCCGTTTTATAGGGCGTACAAAGGTTTTACGATTGTTACAAAAATCATCTCCGTCCGCCAAATAGGCCTTATCGCCGAGGAAAAGTAACTAGCACAGAATAACCGCCACTACGCAGCCAGGATTTTCTCTGTAGAAAAAGATATGAAGCTTGTATTATATGAAGTGATGACAATAAAAAAAGGGTATAAATAACATATAAAAATTTACAACACAGCAAAATCCAAAGTATTATTTCCATACGCATACGGTCTGGTGCAAAAAAGGGCAAACGTCTGTATAGGCTTATTTTAAAACATTTTTTTTTCTTCAAAAATTTGTAGTTATGTTAGTTTTATATTTATGAATGACACTTGCGATGTTAATTTATCTTGGCGGAACGTACCTAAAGGCTAAAACACTATTAGTTTATGTTCCTAAAGTTTATAAAGGTATTAAAGGCATTAGACATTAGTTTCCGTTTTTTTTGTTAACACTTCATGGAAGTAATATTATTTTGTACCAAAACATTCCGCTCAGCTTTACATCAAAGCTAAATATATAATGTAGAGAGTAACTTTTAATACCAAATAAAGACCTTATATTATTATAATACATTTTTAAAATTAAAACTTTTTTCTGTATATTTATCATGTACCTAATAACATAATCTGTTGTTGGTTATGACTTATGTGTAAATTTCGATCCATTATAATTTGTTTTAAAAGCTTATAAAAGTTCAAACTTTTGAAATTTATGGTTATTTTATATATGCTTCATAAAAACATACTATGTATTTATATGTTATATTGTCAGTGTATTTTTTTATGCTAGCATCAAAAACATATTATGTTCACTGTTCAGTGTCAATTAATGTACTTTATATGTTACAAGTATATGCTATATTTTTGAACCTCATTACAGATAAAACTATTCCCAACGTCTCGTTCAATAGAATCATTATCTTTAGGTTTTATACCTATACCGGATAACCACCATGTGTACCATATATTATATGTTCAGTATGCAAAATTTTAACGACTCAGTTTTATGCGTTTTTACTTTTTAGGTTTATTATAATAAAAGTAATATTTTTATTATCTATAAAGTTGACGTAATTTATTGAACAACAAAAGCAATAAAAATTTTATATTTCTTTGTCAGCGTCAAATTTTACAATAACAATGTTTTACTTGATAATATGCAATATAATTATAATCCTCGAAGATATAAAAGGATTTGATATTTTTTTAATTATTTATTCAATACATTTATTCCTTCACTTCATAAGACACACAATAATTAATGTGGAAATAACGTCTTATGTCTTGAAGAGCCATCATAAGAAAAAAAAATTAAATTGTTAATAAAACTCAATAAATTACAAATTTTATTGAATTTAGCTTGTCGATCGTTTACAATTGTTGAGACATGATTGTTTTATGCTTAAAAAAATATAATCGAATATTGGTTTTTATAAAATTAAAAACAAATTCATATTTTAGATGACTTTTGTGTGTTTTTATAATTAACATTTTATATTTTTTTCTTGGAAATTTTGCAAATAAAGTACTTTTGCAGTCGATATTTTTTTTGAAAGAATTATTTAGCCATTCCTTTCTTCGAAGAAAAGTGAAATATTCAATTACACTCCCGGGGCGTCAAAAGAAATCATTCTACCGAATAAAAGATTCCTTTACACATTCTATGTACTGTTCATGTAAGTGAGAGATCTTCATTTTGAGTTTTGATTAACATTCTTATTGAATTACGTATATACCATGTGAAAGAGTCACGCTGAATTTTATTGACAAAAGTAAATGTTGATATAGTTTATATATTTTTTTTAAAGATTACTCTTTGATGGAATACTTGGTTTTTGGTTCAAAGTACACGCATTAAATAAGACTATTAAAATTAAGTTTATGTTATTGAAAATAATCAAATCAGTTACATCAGCTAAAAATCAATAAATATAGTATGTAATAAAAGACTTGCATCATATTATTTGATTAATTCACTACCGTTGTGAAAACAAAATCAATACATTTTACATGTTCGCACTATTAATAAAAAATCCTTTATTTTTATTTAAATATTATATATACCAATATGTATCATTTATATTACATTTTTATTACGGCTTAATCTATTTATATTTTTATATGTAACCTCTATGCACATAACATAGAACTGTTGACTAATTTATTTATTTATTTATATATTTATTATAATAATGACGCCTCTTGAGGCTAGAGTACAGACACATTTTAAAACAAGTAAATTGACTAATAAAAATAAATACTAGAAACAAAAAAAAATATTAACAGATTCAAGCTGATTAATTTAAAACCCGCAAGCGTAAATCAGACATAGAAACATTAACGTTCGATAATATTATTATAACAGTTCAATTTGATTTTTGTTTCTTGGGTCAATGTTATTTTGTGTACAATACAAATGGATGGAGAAAATAGAGCTGGATTTCTTTTAAAATTATTATTACATTTATGCGATCTAAATTGTAATTGTAGTTAGTTTTTTCTTGAAAATTTCATTTAATTTCATTACACCAAGCCAATCGCAATGGCAGTGTAATTTTTGATTCGGAAATATTTGTGCAGATTGTAATAATGTCCATAATCGAATTGTTATGTAGTTGAAAATAGCACATCGTAATCGGAATATATTAGTCTTTAATCAATCAACAACGAATCGTCCATACTAAATATCTATCTACGTTGTATACGTTTAGAATTCCAATTAGTTTACATTGGGATACCGCTTGTCGATTACAACTTTAACGTTGCCACATTATTTTATGTCGTTCATTGAACGCAATACAGTGGCCTGGCATACTTTTACACCGAAAGGGTTATTTTCGGGTAAAGGTATGTCTGTCAGAATTTAAATATTTCCAGAAATTCCGAGCACTGCATAATTTAAAATTCTACGGCTTGTAACCCTGATAGTTGTCGACAGTTTGACAGTTTGAATAAGGGTTAGCTTGTAATTTTTGAGCGTAAAAATCGAACGGCATAAATATTATTTTGCGTATGAGCGTATGGATATTCATGGAATTCGAATCCAAACAAAGGAATACATGTATTTATGTTAAATACTTATACTTACTCTTATATAAAGAGGTGTACACCTCGCAGAATGTAATTAATGAAATTTCGAACATTGTTAACCTTATAATATTTTCAAAGTCAACGGTGTTCGATTTCCAAAATTGTTTAATTTTAATTTGTATATGTGTTAACCGCTCTACATAACGTAAGCCCCACGAAAAATGCTTGCATCTACATTTAAATTTAGAACATTTACTTATATTAACGGTATAATTAATTTACCATACTGTACAGTAAGACATAAGTACAATTAAGCGTAATGTAAAAGAAATAAGTTAATTTACTACTAACATATCATAATTAAACGCTTTAATTAAATTAAAAAATGTTTGAATAATGTGATTAAACTACTATACTTGTATATATTTTATTCTTGTGAGAGCCATGTTCGCAGTACAAAAAATTATTATAAAAAAAAATGTTTCTTTAGATAGTTGGACAACAACTAAAAAAATAACTGACATTATTTTAACACTACATAATAAGTATTAAATAGACTAACGTATTATAGGATTTAAAAATTAAATTATCTGTATAGAATAAATAAAAACAACCAATGAAAACAATTATTTTTGTTTTCTCAATCCTTAATAATAATTGGGGTTTTAATTGTCAATTACAAACGATTTTATTTACTTTTTATTCAATTAAAAACACTATTAAAACGATTGAAAAAACATTATTTAATGCCTTAAGAGTTTTACAAATATTTCATTAGCTTTTAAAATATTTTACTTTAGAAAAATCTATAAGTAAATTGATTAATAAATATAATGCAAGTAAAATGAAAATAGATAATGTGTTAATAACTGATGTGTGGTTAAATTGTATTTTATATGTCCGTTGATCTATTATGTAAGTTGTAACTAATTGGTCGTTTTTTTATTTACCAATTATATTGTGTTAAAAGTATACTAAAAGTTAACAAAATTAGCGCTAATCATAATTTACTTTTAAAATTAGATAATACTATTAAATTTCTATCGGTAAATATAATTCATACAATTACGTCAATTGCATCTACGTTTTAGGCCATGCGAATTGACACCTGGAATATTTATGTTACGTTGTCAGACGTTTTGACACCGTATTATGATTTCATAAATTTTGTCAGGTTCAAAATAAAATAATCATCACAAACCTTATTAAATATTAACACAGCTGTTATTATACTACTTGAAACGTGGATGTACAGCGTTTTTCACTTAGAAATAATGGTCCGGTGTTAATGTCATTTCACTCCTACTTTTATGT